TGTCTATGATATCCTTAATTTATTGGCTTGATGATATCCTCTACTGGCTTTATCTTACAGCCAGTAAAGGATATCATCCAGCCAATAGAGGATATCATCTCGCTAGTATAAATGTCATCCAGTCAATAAAGGATACCATATAGTCAATAAAGGATATCATCCAGCCAATAGAGGATATCATCCACCTAGTAGAAATATCATCCAGCCAATAAAGAATATCATATAGACAATAAAAGATATCATTCACTTAGTAGAGGATATCATGTAGTCAATAGAGGATATCATCTAGCTAGTAGAAATATCATCTTGCCAATAAAGAATATCATATAGCCAATAAAGGATATTATCCAGTTAGTAGAGGATATCATCCAACTAATAGAGGATACCATCCAGCCAACAGAGGTTATCATCCCGCCAATTGAAAATATAAAAAATCTACATCTTGTCCCTTCGGACTGACACAATACCTTCTCTTAATTTAATTATTAAGGTTGATTTAGTATTCAACCAATTGTGATTCATATACTTTTCATGTTTGGCTTAATCTGGTTGGGTTGACTAAATTTAATATTTTGAATAAATAGATTTTTAAAACTAGAGTAAATATTGAGGTTTTTTTTTCTTGTTATTATGTCGATATCAATTCATTCACGTGTCTTTTTCCATATCATATCATTTTTTTGAATGGGTCCATATCATATCATTAATATATGTTTTAGTAATAATTATAGAAGTAAATAATAGGTTGAGTTTAAAACTATAATTGGTTTAAAATCATGTCAAGTCAAAATCAGGTCGGGTTAAAATCGGGTTGAGTTAATATCAATTCGAATAAAAAACAGTTCGGATTGAATCAAATATTTAATTGTCGGGTCAATTTTAGTTTGGATTAAGTTTAGATCAGGTCAACTCCGTTCGGTTTGAGTGCAATTCAAATCGGTTTCGAGTCGAGTTCCAGTCAGGTCAAATCGATGCCGGGTTAAGTTCAAATCAGGTCAAAATTGAATTCGGGTTGAGTTCAGTTCAGTTACAGATCGGGTTTGGATCTTGAATCCATCGGATCAAATCGGATCGATTACAGTTAAAAGTGGACGGTTTCATCAGATCGGTTCGATTTTGACACCTACTAAAGTGATGTTAGAAAGTAAACTACTAACTGGTACCAATACTACAAATCTACAATACAAGTAAGTTGTATTGTTTTATCGTAATTTAATTGAGATCATCACTTTTTTCACAATATTAAAATTCCCTCAATGTGGACAATGTCCAATATGTTTCATCATTTATCGTTGACCATACATTACTTATTTTGTTCTATTATCTAGCTATTTGATATTTTTATTCATATATATATTTCGTATATCTTATACCATACCAATTGCTCCAAATAAGAAAAACGGTTCACATAATGACCATATGCAGGAGAGATGTTAAACACCACATAATCAAGAAGATATTGCATGCTATTTCCAATATCTCCCAATAAAACAAACACTCAAGTGGCCAAGTATTATCATAGGCTATTAGAGTATTAGGTCATGTTTGTCCTTACTATACATTTCTTGGTCATGTTTGTGGATCGATTTGAAAAATACGTTATTGTTGATCAAGTTATCGGACCCATGTCATTTTGAATTATTTTTTAATTATACTAAATCTTTAATTCGTTGTTATAGTATACTATAAATTTGAAGTTGTATCATGCAACCCAGTCTTCTGCATTCTTGCATATATACATACTTGTATCATTGTATGCTATAACTAGCATGGTAAGTTTACGATCGAGAAATTTAGTAAGTTATTTACTATAAACTAGCCTTCTGGTCCGTGCAATGCACGACTTGTTCATAGAAAATTGCATTGAGAGATGAGTGAGGAAATACCAATAAATAATTATGAGTGTAATATGTAACTGAAAACATAATTAAATAAATAAAAATCTTGGGACTTTAATTTAAAATGAGACTTAATAGAAAGAAGGTGGAGGGACTAAAATCAAAGAGAGAAAATAAAAAAGTTGAATTAAAGAGGGGAGATGAAAATGAAAGAGTTAAGAAGAATTGTATAATTAAAAATATAAAATATAAAACGACATGTGGCACATTGAGTTGAAGAAAATAATAGAGAAGTGTAATAGAAAGATGACATATGTCTTTTTTGGTTTGCCTTTTTAAATACTAAGTATAGATGTAGTGTTATTAATGGATGGACATTAAATGTGCTTATTACATTATTATGTGTTGTGTACTTGTGGTGTGTGTTGTTAAAAAAACAATTATTATTTTTTTGAAATATATCCTAGACTAATAACCTAATTTTTTATTTTTTTATTTTTTTTATTTTAAATGCTTACCAATTCTTAATTCAGAAGGTTAAACCTAAAATTCGAACTTAGGGCATGTTCTCATTGACTGAACTCAGCTGAACTGAACTAAATTGAACTGAACCGGATTGAACTGAATTGAACTGAATTGAGCTGAGATGAACTGAACTGAACTGAACTGAGCTGAGCTGAACTGAACTGAAATGAATATTTTGTAAGAGAAGGAAATTAGGAGTTGAACTGAACTGAACTGAACTGAACTGAATTTCAACGTAAGAGAACAATCTCTTACATTGTTATGCAAAAGTTAATGGTTTCTTGAAGGTTACTGAATGACTTATTTTATAGGTAAATCTTAATTATTATATGACTTATTTTAAAGATAAACCTTAATTATAATAAATTTAATTTGCTTTAATACAGATTTGAAAGCATGAGTAAGAGAAAACGAGTTATGAGAGCAAATTAAATTTATTATAATTAAGATTTACCTATAAAATAAGTCATTCAGTAACCTTCAAGAAACCATTAACTTTTGCATAACAATGTAAGAGATTGTTCTCTTACGTTGAAATTCAGTTCAGTTCAGTTCAGTTCAACTCCTAATTAAATCAATCACGAGTTTCAAAAACTAGTCGAAACTTTAAGTGGAAAATTAGTCCTCTAATATGGTATTAAGAGCCAATATGACAAAGAGGTTAACTACGGGTTCAAATCTCATCTCTGATCTTCCCCTCCTATCATCAAGTGGAATATTTTGTGTTGGGTATGAAAATGCCCCTGTTGCATCAGTGCATCACATTTCAAGCTCAACAGACTCTCATATGAGAGTGTAGTCGTGTAAGTGCATGATATAGGACCTGTTCTTATTGATTGAACTGAGCTGAACTAAACTGAACTTATTGGAGCTGAACTGATCGAATATTTTATGAGAGAAGGAAATTAAGAACTGAATTGAAATGAACTTATTAGAGATGAACTGAACTGAACTGAACCTGAGCTGAACTGAAAATAAGCTGAAGACAACATGCCCATAGTATATAAACCAATCCCACACTTATTAGCTTCAACAAAGATTAAGCTTTTGATTGAATTAGTCGTCTAATAATGCCGAGTACTTTAGTTGTATTTTATTAAAAAAAAAGTTGTTTATAAAATACAGTGGATTATTTAGCTCAGAAAAATAAAAAAATATGATGGAAACTCACTAAGTCACTACTCACTAGTATGTAGTTATGTACAATCGTTGTTTACCAATACACCCCTAAAGTATCACGTATAAACTCACTAGTATGGCAGTATGAGATGAAAACCGATTGACATTGATTTTGGCACACCTCTACTTATCTATTAACCTATACTAAAAGCGAATCCATTTATAACACTTGTCATTATCTTGTAAAAAAATTTCCCGCCATTTTCCTTTTTTTTTTTTTTTTTTTTTTGCAAAATAACATGATTTTTTTTTCCTGTTTGACAATCATATTCCACATATACCCAAATATTTCAGAAGTTTCTAAATATCTTTTATATACTTTATGTATTATTTTGTAATATTATTATAAAAAAATATTTAACAACCGTACATTGTACGGGATTTTAACCTAGTATTTGATTAAAAACAAAACCAGCTTGAAATAGGCCGGGTTTCGCAATTTTGGGCCCAAATTGTAATTCTATCCCGACTTTATTATTTCTTGGTATTGGACAGCTTGATCCATAAAGCCCGTTACTTTGGTTCAAAATAGTGAGTTTGGCCACATATTCTAGGCCTTAAGTGGGGTCTATCCCAGCCCGAGATGAGAAAAATTGTTTAGCCAAAACTTGTTTCATGATTAAAGTATCTCTGCCTTCATGTATGAAGACTTGAAGAGTATAAAAAACATTGCTTTCATAATAGATGTGCTAAAATCATTTTCGAGGTTGATGCTGGACCAATTATCTACACTATATATTAAGAGAGGATCCTAATCAAGGATACACGTCACGTGTCACTGCTCTTGTCTTTTTTGCCGCATATTCATTCTCGGCGTGTCACCCATCTCTATCTTCCACCAAGAATATACCATGTGTCCATGTCACCAAGGAGAATCATACATTAACGTACATGTCAATTGAAAAATGTTTACTTTAACATACATGTCAATTAAAAAATGTTTAGTCAAGAATTGAACCCGGGTTCCTTTAGGAAATGAATAAAAAGTCATACCATCTTTAATGTAGGCCATGATTTTTTTTTTTTTAATTTTAATTTTATTACAATTTATTTTCTTCAACTAAATCTATAATAAAAGTATTTAGGACTATTATAATAAATGAAAACTATAACGCAAAATAAAGAATATTTAACTTATAGTTTCGGAACATCGCCCGGGCTAAACACTAGTTTTGGATTATACTTTATAATCCATGATGTACGGACCCATAGGCCCACATTGGATTTTATTATGCCACTTTAATCTCCACCAAAGGCTAAATTGTTGATGGCCAAGCCAAATTATTTTGGACATACTGAGTGTTATGAATTTTTTTATGACAAACTCCAAACATGTTCCTTACTTTGATAGTCAAGAAACTTCTCACTGAAAAGAAAAGGGCAGTCACCTATTGAATTTAGAGGCATTATTAGAGCTTATATAATACGATACTTAAATAGTAGAATCATTAACCCAAATTCACAACCAATCAACTTATCCCTTTTATTTAAATGGCTTGGTATCAGAAACTGAAGAGCCAAGTCCAAAAAAATACATAGTGAGTATTGTAACTGTACAAGTGGCGATAAACATTATAGCTAAGACTATCTAATTATATGTAACGGCAACACAGAAGTACAAGAGGTAGCTCAAGTGGTTAGAGCGAGTTTTACTCTCAGATTGAATGAGAGCGTGAAACCAAGGCCATGCTGACTTGAAGAGACAGAAATACACAGTAAATGGCTATGAGGCCAGCACCTAAAATCTTATTAGGCCGCATATCATTTCGAGGCAAAACGATTAGAGACCATATAAGACCTGTTGCAAGGAATCCAACTGTTATGAACAAACCACTTTCTTGTTCAATTACATAAGGTTCTGGACCCTTGTACCATGTTGCAAGCACCAATGAAACTCCTAAACCAATTAGTGTATTAAACATAGGACCTGCATAGCTCCCTGACATCGCGATCTGCACACCATTTCTGTCATTCATTGCGAAAGCAGTGTTTGACATTAGATCACCCATTGAATTCCCCCAAGCCAATATGGTCAAGGCGAGTATTGATGGGTTGACACCAAATATAGCACCCAACGAAACAAGCAGAGCAACAAGCTCGTTTGCTATAATGTAAAACCATGTTATGCTCATGACGAATCCACCTAAAACCCAAGGGAACAAGAAGCTACGAGGTGGGTGATCAGGGCTTGTGTATAAAAAGGCTAGTACACCAAAGATGAAACCAGCAGAAAAACCAATTATATAAGCAATTTTACCACTCAAAGAAACATGCCCTTCCTGTGTATTCCACAGAACAGCTAGAAGAATTGGGGCTAAAAACGCGCTGGCAATAGCATACACCTTAGACCATCTTTCCTCCTCTACTATAGGAATTGTTAAACGTCTAGGAATACTTAAGGGAATCTCCAAAATTGAACATAATTTAGAAATCGAATATGATGATTCCACATTTGTCTCCCCATCATCATTCCAACCCCACAAAGGCCTAGAGCTATCTTCTACAGCAGACTTTTTAGAATCTGAATAGATTGCAACATTAATATTCCATATCCAATGTGGCAATTTCGAGGGCATTTCAGATTGATCGCTCTCCCCTTCATCATTACACGACGAGAAGAATCTCCCTACTACAGGAAGCAACGGAGTCAATTGGCCCAATTTCGAACCCCTACCCTTCTTGTTAATAATCTCAGTTACAGCAACATAAATGCCATAAACCACATATATTGACACATATGCTAGAGCACCCCAAATACGAAGTTCACCAATAATCAAAATCAATGTAAGGCAACTTATACCAAAAAGAAAAAAACATAAGTCCCTTATAAAACATGTTTTATCAATTTGCACCCTCTTATCTGCAACACAAAATGAAACAACCCCTGCAACAACACAAGAAATAATCATAGCACCACCCAACACACTATTAATTCCGACATTGTCACCGGAACCCTGGCCCATGAAGGCAGCAATGCTAGAAAAAACATCATTTGCCCCATTACCAAAAGGAAGCAAGGTAACACCAGCAACAGTAGGAGACATTTTCAGAAGTTCTGAAAGTTTTTCTACTGAACAACAAAAATAACTTGCAGCAGTATTTCCCAACATATAGAATAGTACAGCAAGCCAAGAAGCAAGAATTAAGTACCCAAAAATGGTGTAATTATTACAATCACAGTAAATAAATTTGATGTAATTGAAATAACCACCTGAATTACATTCTGGGTGAGCAAAAACATAATCACAGCTGTTTTCATAACCCTTATGATTAAAAATCTGGGAACAAGTTTGGTAATCAGATAAAGTAATTTTACTAACATTTGATGAAACCCCATGAATTTCTGCAATAATTGCACCATCATAAACCCCACTACCCAAATTCCATTTTTTAGCAATGTTTGAATTATACATGAAAATTAGAAATACAACAGTTGAAATTCCATTAAAAAGAACTCGAAATTGAGTGTTGTTCATCCTCAAAATTAGAACCCAAATTCAAAATTCTTAAAAACCCAAAACAAAAAAACCCCAGAAAAAATTTATGAAGTACTACTTTGTAGTAGAAAATTGACAAAATTTAAGTAAAGGGTGAGTGAATCACTGAATCATGATGATTAGAATAAGTACAGAAAAGTGAGCTTCTGAGTAATTTCTTATCTTCAATGATACTATTCAAAATATTATGGGAATGCTTTAAGTACGTGCATGATAACAGCTTAGGGTTGAAAGAATACGTGAAATACCAACTTTTATACGTGGCTGGTCACACCGAGCCATCAAAAGATTTCGTTAATGTTATAGGGGTTATTCAGCCTGTATCACAAGGGTAACTTAGTAGAGTTACAAGGTTACTTATTAGTATTATAATGATTATTTAGTCACTGTTATAGGGTTACTTTATTCTTTTACAAGCGATCACATATTCACATGAAGTGGTTAGTAGCACACAAAACGCGTTGTACTCTGTATTAAATATAATATACTCCCTCCATCCCATAATACATGAGACTTTGATTTTTTTTCACTATTAATGCATTAGGTTTGACCATAATTTTTTACTAACATAATAAAAATATATTTTATCATAAGATATGTTGTTAGATAGGTTTTAATACGTAATACTACCTCCGTTAATGATTATTTGAAACTTTGGGGGTATTATTTATGAGATATAAAAAATTCCAAAAGTTACAGATAACCATTAACGGAGGTGGTATAAAGTTTCAGAATATATTTTTTAAAATATATTTCATTAATATTTGATTATATAAAAGTAAAGTCAAACTAGAGCATTGACATGTATGCAGCTTTTGCCTATGTCATGTATTATGGGACAGAGCTAGCTAGGGAGTATTAAGTAAGGGCTTGTTTGGTTCACCTTAGTTTTGCTTATTTGAACTTATCACTGATCTGGTCTGGTTTGGTTTGATCTAATCTAAATGTCATATTTGACTAAACTTTGACCTTAAATATACGATAATCTATACGGAAAAAATATATCAAGTGAGGTCTTGTTAGATTCGTAATAATGTGTATTTTATTAATATGTGATTTTTAAAGTTTTTTCATTACAAAATTAAAGATATTTAGCGATAAAAAAAAACTGCACATATAATGATGATCTGATCTGAATCTATTTGTTCTGATCTGAACTTATTTTTTCTAAAATAAGTAAAAATAAGATGAGCTAAACAAGGTCTAATCCATATAATTAATAATTACAGGTTCATTTTTACTACACTTCACCACAATCCTCCAAAACATCAATACTCAAATTCTATGCATTTATTTTTATTTTATTTTTAATTATACAAAAATACTAATAATTACCTATCCCCCATATTCTCGTACATTAGCATGGTTAATTAAAATTTTCCAATTTGCTATAGTACGAGTCCCTTTATATAGATGGAACATTGGAACCTTGGTCATGCATGCATGCATGGATGTAAGGTCATGCAACATAGTAGTACTGTACTACCAAGCTTTGGAGCAATATCCTGGAAATTCCCTCTTTACTATTTACTGTTCGGGTGACGTATTTTGTAAACAATAAACGTCCATCTGATTATTAATTAGTTGGTTATGTAGCTGAATTCTAAGGAATAATGTCACCAAAAATGAGACATATATAATTTGGACTATCCTTAAGTAACAATAATACTACTAGTACGTTAGTTTTTCATCATTGTCTCGTGAACACTTGAAGCTTCGTTACTTGAATTTAAGGAAGATCATCACAAACATGTGTGACCCCATTCTTGTCTTACTATCAATGACATTATGTATAATTCGTACAACATTATAAATGTGACTCAACTAAGTATGGACTATGAAAATTGACTGCTAATAAACTATAATTCATTTGTGTGCACAAATTTTAAAATCATAGACTCATGGTGAGGACAAAGTGCATGCATGTTTAAATATGGCCTGGTCCTGGTGGCTGGTGCAATGCTAGCGTTAAGGGGTGTGTTTCCGTGCATTACTTATCTATTTTTCTATTTTGTATTTAATATGTCACTCATGTCTATTTATACGAATAATTCGATAACTAAGGTCCTGTGCACTTCAGCTTATTTATTTATTTTTTATTTATAATGAATTATCTTGATGGTTTTTAATTTAAGCATAAAAGATATAATTCAATTCATGAAAATCAAGTCAATACTTGCTTGTGTTAAGCTGCCACGTTGACCATTGTTAAGTAAGGAGAGTCTTGACATAGTCTCTTGAAAGATTGCGCCTTTACAGGCAAGTATAGCATAGCTAGATCGATACTACCTCCGTTACACATTATTTGCAACGATTAGACATTTTTTCTCTCTACTTTATGTCAAATCGTTGCAAATAATGTGTAACGGAAGTAGTATATATTTTTTTTGGCGGGTATGTATGTATGTAGACATTGCAAAGTATGTTTTATTTTTTCCTTCAAATTTTTTAAATAATGCAATTTTAAATATAGAATGGTTTGATGACATAAATTTGAAAGCATTCCCTAATTACCGGTCATCCAGTCGATAAGATGGATAGAGGAAGAAAAACACTACAAAAGGGTATGGTATATGCAGTTACAGTGAGTTCATATAAAATTAAAATGAAGGATCGAGAGGTGATGTTATAATTAATATATAATTATGGACATTTATGCTAATTTAAGGATTTGAACATGTAACCTCTAATTTTAGAATTGATTATTTTACCATCAAGGTTTGTAATATTTATTACTCTGTGTTATATTTTGAATCCAAATTATTAACATGAATAACAAATTTAAATACAAGAAAATTAAGTCATAAATTAAAACGTTTATTTATAATCAATCATATGTAATGAACCAAGGCATTGCCCGAGCCCAAATACTAATATATTGACTATAATGGTTGAAATGACACACACTTAAACGGGTCCCATAAAAATTTATACCTTTCAAATTAGCTCGTGTCTTGAACCTCTTATGTTATATTACTACGTACTATCTTTATCTCATTGTGCACCACAGATTTTTAGATCACGATTATTCAACGAATACATTGTATTGATTTCTATCACTTAATCATATTTTTCTCTTTAACAATGGATTCAAAAAACTCTTTCACCTTTCTATCATTTTTCTTCGTAGGAATTGTGGTAGCATTGGCTCTTCAAATCTACTTTTTTTCACCCATATCACCTCAAATACTTGATGTGCCTTCACCATCTATAGTTAATTCCCTCTTTCCTCCCAACAACCATTTACAGGTTAGTTTATAATTAACTGAATTAATGGAGTTTATATTTTATTGTCCAACCACGTGAATTGACAAAAAGTAGCTATCTAAGATATTATGGATTTTAATGTAGAAGAAATTCTCTTTGGTAACAGTTTGTTTTTTATTTTTCTGATTGGCAAATAGCAAAAAAAATCTTATTATGTTTGGTAACATTTTAATTAATGCCTAAAGTTTTGATATTACTTCATCCGTTTCTAGATCTCTTTGTTCTTTATATTATCATATGTTTCGTTTCAAGTTCCGAAAGAAAAAAAAGACAAAGGCGGTAAGAGCATCCACAGTGGTTAGCTATATGTACATGTAGTTTTGGATTGCCACATCATTAATCCTCAAATTACATGAGTTAAGCTACGACCTTTACAATGATAAGCTACATCCTTTTGTAATAAATAAACCATTAAAAAAAAATCAAACAAATAAATACATAAAAAAAAATATTAAACAAATCAATATATATGTGTCGGGCGGAGTGAAACTAGATAGCAACTCTAATAGTAATAGAGATATGTAGTTTGGCTTAGCTACAACTTATGTAGCTCTATAGCTCCACAATGGATAGCATATAACTCTACATTATTTAAAAATTGCAAGCATGTCCTTTTATGCAATCATTGTGGATGCTCTAATAGTTAAAATAAAATTATAAGGTATTTGACTACAAATATAAGCTAGGGCTATCTTGTACTGTGTACACTTCAAATCATTTGACTTTTATTAGTAATTAAGTTAAGAATTAATTTACATTCCATATTCAATTATATTTTAATAATTAACATTGATTTTTAATGATTGAGACATAATTTTATACAATTAAACTAAGTATAAAGCACTTAATCAATAGTTTTGCTTTGTTATACTTGTATGAGTATATGACTATACAATGTGAGTTTGTCATTTTTATTGAATAAAATTGTTGAAAATCATATTTTATTAATTAAACTAAAATTTATTTCTTAATTAAAGGTCATTTATTCAGTACTTTTGGTGAGCTGTCCAATTACTGTTCGCCTTTTGCTTTTACTGTTTGGTGAGGAAATTACGCATGTACCCCTCAACTAGTACATGAAAAGACGCATATACCCCTCCAGTCAATTTGTTTATTTGGGGAATTGACTGGGTATCCCTCTATAAAACATTGAACCAACAATCAAACCTGCATTTTTTTTTTGTAAACAATACTTCGATTATAATTAAATCTCGTAAATCTCATAAGCTCTAGGATAATATTCATTTTATATACAGAGTATTATATTTGTATAGTATGCATACTTGAAATTTTACTGTTTGTATAAAAACATAAAGGCCATGTTTGGTAATTGGCTTTTTAATGGCTTTTTTTGTTAGCTTTTGGCTTTTTAAGGTGGTCAAACAACCAAAAAATGTGTTTGGTAATTGGCTTTTTAGTCGGCGAAAAAGCTGGCTTTTAAGCCAAAATGAAAAAGCTGCTTTGAGTAGCTTTTTTGTTGGCTTTTGGTTTGTTGGCCCACAAATTATCTAATAAACAACCAACAACCAACAATTAATTTACCAAACACTTTTATAAACAGCCGGCTTAAACAACCAATTTCAAAAGCCATTATAAATAGCCAAACATTCCAGCTGGTCAAACAAGCCAAGTGAACCAGGCAACAGCCAACAGCCAACCGCCAACAACCATTTGCTAAACAAGGCCAAAGTAAAGTTACTAACAAAAAAAAAAAAAAATGCAAGCTTCAAAAATTTAAAGATAATATGTGTGTTTAACATGTATATATAGGATGTGACAAAGATAGGAGAAGGGCAATTGAAGAATGCAGAAGATGTGTGCGTGGATAAGGATGGGACTCTATACACAGCTGGTAGAGATGGTTGGATCAAATGAATAATGGCTCATTGCAAAATTGGAAGTGAGTTAATAGTACCACATTACTTGGACTGGCTAACTTGGCTAAGGGTGGTATTGTTGTTTGTGACACAAAAGAGGTTGATTTACTAAATATAGCTAGGGTCTTCTATCTTAGTATGAATTTAATTGTCAATGTTGAATTCAATAAAGGAAAATTTGCCAATTACTACCGCAAGTTAATACTACTTTGTAAATTACTATCGCAAATTAAAAAAGTTGTGAATTACTACCTCAAAAAATTTTAAGATGTTGCGATTATTACCAAACCCCCATTAAACCCAACTATAACGTCATTATATCACTTTAACCCATGGTTAAAGCCCTTAACCATGACATCATTATATCCCTAAACCATTTTCTTTTTTGGGGGGCTGGTTAAAGCCCTTAACCATGGTCAAACACGGGTTAAAGGGATATAATGACATCTTAGTTGGGTTTAATGGGGGTTTGGTAGTAATCGCAACATCTTAAAAATTTTTGCGGTAGTAATTCACAACTTTTTTAATTTGCGGTAGTAATTTACAAAGTGGTATTAACTTGCAATAGTAATTGGCAAATTATCCTTCAATAAACTTACTTTATACTATGTATGTTTTAATTGTAGGGTTTGCTTAAGGTTGATGAAGATGGAGTAACAACTCTAGTTTCACACTTCAACGGCTCCAAGATACAGTATGTCTACTAACTGAATATGTTTTGAATACACAGTACAATAATTGAGTATTGAAATTAATTTGGTTTATACATTAAATCTAATCACTTCAAATTACATTAAAAAGACTCTTTTATAGATAAAAGTTGACTTCTATCGAATTTGAGGTAAATAACTCTAATTAAGATACATATTATATATATACAAGTTGTACACAAGAACTACCGCCCACTAATCCATCCTTAGGAAAGAGACAAAGTAAGTTGTTGGTTAAAGCACAATGAAAATAGATAATGATGTCTAATTAATAGGTTTGTTAGTTTTAAACTAAATGATTGTCAAGACTTCAATTAGATAACTATGTTGGAATAGAAAAAGTAAATTCATAACAAAACTCTCATTAGTTACATCATGCATATAACAGCAAAACAATTCAACAACATAATGTTGTGATAATACAAGTAGATTTGCATAATTTATTTTAGTATAGTTATTAAAATCAAGAAAAGGATGCACAACCAATACAAATATTGATACGCAAAGCCCATGGGCTATGGCATGGGAGAAAAGACTTATTTAACACCCATGGCCCTTGCATACCTAAAAAGGCTTAGAATTCGAGTCAAATAATTATCCAATTAAAATGTTTCTTATATACAATTGCAAATCCAATTAGATATCAACGGATCAACCAATGATTACCCTTAAAAGTTGCTTTCTTTTATTTTTAAGATAGTTTATTCCATAACAACGTCTCTTGTGTGTGGACGTGTGGTTAATCACACCGTGATGCCACTTTAACACTGATCAACTAATCTCTATTACATTGACGAAGTAACTCTTATAATGACCGGCTACACGGTGTGGCCAACCACACATAAGAATTTGTGTTAAAATTAAGCTTTTACATAAAATATTTACTGTTAAATACTATTTTACCATCATTACCTCTTTAAGAAAATCCTGAATTTAATTTGTTTTTATGTAACCAAGCAATTATCAAATGAAAACAGGTTTGCAGATGATGTGATAGAAGGGGAAGATGGAAGCTTGTATTTTAGCATAGCAAGCACCAAATTTGGTCTCCACAATTGGTACTTTGATCTATTAGAAGCCAGACCTAATGGCCAGCTTCTCAAGTTTGATCCCCAAACTAAAGAAACATCATTATTGCTAGATAATCTTTACTTTGCAAATGGAGTAGCCCTCTCAAGTGACCAACGCTACCTTTTGGTATGCGAAACGTGGAAGTGAGTATACATGATAAATCAATGTCTCTTTGTTTATTATTCTCTTTGTTTGTAATCAGTTACTTCTTGTCAGCTGTCACGTTGTCCTAACCCGGCTTATATTTTGTGTCATAATAATATCATTTAAATGACGAGTTTTGAGAACAACTATCATTTAAAACTTTTTTTTTTTGAAAAAACTATCACAAAAACATAAAAAGTTTGAGTAGCATTACCTTATTAAGTTTTCCGGCTAGAATCTCCAGCTATGACAATCAAGATGGCCTATGCTACTAAAAAATTTCAGGTCAAGATGCTTAAAACATTGGTTACAAGGCGATCTTCAAGGAAAGACTGAGATATTCATAGATAATCTTCCAGGTGCACCAGATAATATCAATCTTGCTCCAGACGGGTCGTTTTGGATTGCATTGATCGAGGTACGTACTCATCATATATGATGCTTACCAAACATTGTTTGTTATGTGAGTTAGTATTATAAGGCCAACAAAAACAAGTTTAAAGCATGAACTTAATATTGTTGTTCTATGCCATGTACTAGTTTTTAGTCGTGTTAAAATGATAGGAAAACAATCAATGAAGGCACAAACATTGTGTTAATTTTGTGAAACGTGACATCGATCTTTTAATAAATTAGTATAGATATTTGATAGTACAATTTGTACTAAACCATGTTAACGTACTAGCAACTAATGCTTATAATGTTGCCTTGGTAATCAATGCAGTTGTCGAACAAAGAAATGAAGTTTGTGCACACCTCCAAGATTGTGAAACATTTGCTAGCAACATTTCCCAAATTGATAAAGTTTGTCCAAGCTTCTCACAACAAAGCTACTGTGATGAAGGTATCAGAAGACGGTAAGATATTGAAGAGGTTCGACGACGCTGAGGGCACGGTCGTGTCTTTCGTGACTTCAGCTGTGGAGTATGAGGGAAACCTCTACCTAGGAAGCTTAAATTCCAATTTTGTTGGTAAATTATCATTAAACAACTTGTAGAAACTGTATAATTAATACTAGTATAATTCAGCTTGATAAAATTGTATGACTTATACAAGAGATTAGGCACGCTTTTAGCTCTAAACAAAACATTGCTAGTGATATTTTCGTGTAAGAGTATAACGATTAATTTGTCATTTTTCCTGTTTAGTTATATTAACAATTTAACTAGTTATACTTCTTACAAGTTAAGTCATAATTATTGGTTAGTTTAAAGATATAAAGGGCGATGCAACTAAAAAAATAGAGGAAGTATTTGTTATATACGTGTGAAGGCTCTTCTTGTTGGTAATGCAAATTAAAGGTTTCCCGGGTAAATGAACATAAAGATTAGACCTATTGAGTAATGACGAAAGTCAGGCGTAAACCTAAAGACTATACATTATAAACAACCTAGCCGATTCAAAGGCATTATTCATATTAGGGAACAAGATATATCCAAGTTGCAGCTTTCATCATGTGAGCTTTCAGGTAGTTGAAGATTTGTGATAATGAAGACTCTTGAGAGACTTCGAGGCTTTCTTCATAAATGTTTAGTGAACACTAAACAAGTCTGTCACGGTGGATATATACATATATATATATATATATATATATATATATATACTACCTCTGGTTCAAATTACTCGCAACTTTAATTTGGGGTATTATTTGTGAGATATAAAATATTTCAAAATTGCGAGTAATTTGGACCGGAGGTAGTATAAAGATCAAAGAGGGAGTTAATCACTTTACTAATCTTTTTAATTCAGTATTTGTGAAGTAGGCTCTCTCTTAATGATGAATGTGGCCTACAATTTAATGGTAAGATCATTCAATTCAACTTGTAGGCTTTGCTAGTGAATTGATTTTTTTAGTGCTAGTTTATATGACAAGTTTTAGCAAATCTATCAATATATTTTGTTTGGGTAGGTTTCAAATAAATTAAACACAACGCCATTTTAGGTTCACGTTACATGTTCATGTCAAAATTAAAGAGTTCACCTTCACTGAAAAAAAAAAATAAAATAAAAAAATTAAAGAGTTCAATTATACTTTCTTTTAATTTTTTTGTAATAAGAAAAGATTTCAATCATACATCGAATAAAATAAACCTTGATCCCAATCTCCAACTCACTAACTTGCCGCGAGAGTCATCTATATGAGGAAGGTTTAACCGTTTAATCTTACAAGTTACTTTTGTATTACTTTGTACTCGTTACTTATTCCTTTTATAATTTGATCAAATTAAACCAAACTAGAAAAATTCAAGGTTAAATTAACAATTATAAAATCAATTCATCTATTTTTCATTTGCTTATTATTGCCATATACAAGTATTTAATTTTGTATTTGTGAATATAATGAAACTTAAATTCTTGAAAGTTACACATTAGTTAAGACAAAAACAACAAAATTAAACTTGATAAATTTTTCTCATACATTAATTAACCTACACCTAAGGCTAAAGTTCAAACAAATGAGCCAATCAGATCAGATCAATCTAAATTAAAAATATTCATAAAATATCAAACCTAATCATATTTTAAAAATTAAGGGTAATGCTTATAATGCTATATGTAGGTGAACTGTTAAACATTGCCCGCAAATTCCTACATAAAGCCCACAAAATAAGAGTGAAATGACACTTTTTCCCTCATACTAAAAAACACACAATTTCTCTCTCTACTCTCTACTTCCACTTTCTCTCTCTAAATTATTTCCAGAGCTATGTCGAGGCGGCCCGGCAAGGAAGTGGCGGCACCGGCGGTGGGCGGAAGGCGGTTTGCCGGCCAGAAGGTAATTTTTTTAATTTTTGTAATTTTTTTTAAAAAAAAAAACCTCCGGCGACGGTGGGGCGCCAAGGCGAGACGCCACCACCACGGAGGAAGCGCCTAGGCAAGACGCCCATACGGTGGTGGCGGCGCCTAGCCCAGACGCCACTACCACGGCGGCGGCGCAGAGGGTAGGCGCCACTGCCGTGGTATTGGCGTCTGGGCTAGGCGCCGCCACCACCGTACGGGCGTCTTGCCTAGGCGCCTCCTTCTTTTTTTTTTTTTAAATTTTTTTATGTTTTTTTTTAATTTTAAATTTTTTTTTCGAATTTTTTTTTTTTTTTTTTTTTAAAAAAATTTGTTTTTCTTTTTTTTAAATTGTATGTTCCCTTTTTTTTTTATCTTTTTTTTTTAAAATTTTGTTTTTTTATTTGTTTTAATTTTATGTTCTATTTTTTTTTTTAAAAAAAAAATTGTATCTGGTTTTAATTTTTAATTTTATGTTCCTATGTATTTTTTTTTTTTTTGAATTATATTTTTGTATGTAAAAAAATTATAAGTTCCCTTTTTTTTTTATAAATTTTCTTTAAAATTTTGATGTTCTTCTTTTTTTAAGTTTTTGCAATTTTAAATTTTTTAAGTTTTGTTAGTTTTTTGTTTTTGGTTTTTTCTTTGCATTTTTGATTTTTTGTTTTTGTTTATGTTTTTCATTTTTAAGTTTGTTGTTTATATTTTTTGTTTTTGGTTATATATTTTGTTTTTGGTATATTGTTTTGTTCATATTTATATTTTTTTATGTTTATATTTATATTTTTTATGTTTTTATTTATATTGTGTTGTTTATATTTTTATTTTTTATGTTTATAATTTTATTTCCGTTACTTGTTTATTTGCTTTTGTGTTTATTTTCGTCCTTTTTTGTATTTATATTTTTTGTTTTTGGTAATATTTTTTGTTTTTGTTTTTGTTTATGTTTGTTTTTTTTTTGTTTGTAGTTTATATTTTTTGTTTTTGGTATATGTTTATGTTTATATTTCTTATGTTTATATGTATATTGTCTTGTATATATTTATATTTTTTATGTTTATAATTTTATTTCCGTGACTTGTTTATTTGCTTTTGTGTTTATTTTCGACTTTTTTTAATTTGTTTTCGTTATTATGTTTCGTTATTTACTTGGAGTTAGGCATCGCAATTTAGACCTGGTGCGGGGAAGAGTATTGACGTCGTGAGGAGTACGATCTACTCAATGGAGAGCTCGGGGCCCAGACACGTTAGATCCCGTGGTATTTCGGCCTCGGCCCGCAGAGAACGGGTGCACTGTTCTGCGGACGATCAAGATGATGATGATGATGAGGAGGAGGAGGAGGAGGAGGTCGAGGAGGAGGAGGTCGAGGACGAGGATGATGCAGATGAGGATGTCGACGATCAGAGTGGACCATATGATGATTACGGTCCATTCAGTCAGAGGCTTGATGATACGTATGAGACGCATAGGGTAGATGTGCGTAAGGGTCGAGATGGTAGGTTTGTTAGTAGATCTGGCACATCATCTGCGTCCACTGTGTCTGCGGGTAGCAGAAAACGGTCGAGGGCCGTTAATGATTCTTGGATGGTGAGGGGTGAGGTGGCCGGGGGACCTATAGACGGGAGTGTGATTCCTAGCTTTTTAGGACACATCGCTACCCGTATTTGGGAGGACCAGGAGAGGGCTTTGGATACAGGCATTTTGAAATGCCAAACCCGGGAAAAGACTTGTAGGTTTTTGTGTAGCTGGGCTGATGCTTGGCCGGAGGAGAGCGAGATGGTCGGGCGATTGAGGGCCACTAGAGTGAGTCACCTTCCTGCCACCATGCACGACAGGATTGACTGGACGCTGATCACGGCTTTCGTTGAGCGATGGCATCCGGATACGAACTCGTTCCACCTTCCGTTCGGTGAGATGACGATCATGTTGCATGACGTCGAGGCCATCCTTGCGATTCCCGTGGAGGGAAACCGAGCATCTGTCGTCACTGATGCGGATCAGGCAGATTTACTAGCGGAGCTGTTGGCGGTGGATAGGGTTGCGCTGTACACATCGGCACTTGGTGTGTGGGATCACGGCGGCGTTAAGATCGCAGCCGTCTTGCAGCGATGTTTGCACCCTACGGCACGTAGGACGCAGGACACACAGCTGGCTGCATATGTTTTTCTTCTTCTCGGGTGTACCTTGTTTCCGGATAAGAGCGGGAACAAGCTCAGGCCACGCGACATAGTTGACGCGTGTGAGCCCGACAGAGTAGGCCAGTTTTCTTGGGGGTCGGCTACGCTGGCGTATCTGTATCGCCAGTTAGGATTCTCGAGCCGGGCTGATGCAGCAGGTATCACTGGATGTCTGACGTTGTTACAGACCTGGATATACGAGTATTTTCCTGCGTTTCGACCACACCGCGACCCGGTTCCCATTGGTGATGGCCAGCCACGTGCCTGTGCGTGGAGTCCGCGTGTCGAGAAGAAGTCCGTTGACCGCCTGCGCTCCATACGGTTATCGCTTGACAGGATGTCCCCCTTAGAGGTACAGTGATTAAATTATTTCTACTTTTACAATCTGATGCTTTATTTTATGACTGTTACTGATTTTAAATAATGTGCAGGTGAACTGGATGCCTTTCGGCCAGAACCCTAGTAATAGGGTACCTAGGACCCTCTACACTGGACTGATTCAGTATCGCGAGATCGTAGAGGCGTACATGCCGCAGCGCTGTCTTCGCCAGCTTGGATTTGTCCAAGTTGTCCCACCTCCACCGGCATGGCCCAGTAAGGCGGTACGATCTGCGTCGTCGAAGGAGTACGTCGTCCAATGGCCGTCAAACATGATAGCCATGTGGGAGCAGTTTCCGATGGTTGCCCGCCTATGGACGGCGGAGCTGCAGCGGCCGCCAAGTGGGGTGACTGCCATGTGTGACCAGCACTACATGGAATGGTACATCCGGCACTCGCACCCGAGGTTGATCAAAGACATCGACGACGCAGATGATGACGATGTGCCACCTGCCACTGCCTCTTATGCGGTACGTCTCATCTTTTATTTGTTGTTCTCTTATTTTAATATATATATGTATAATACGTCGTTTCATGTTTTTTGTTTTGTGTAGTGGATGGGCAAGATTATGCAGTTGGGACACCGACTTTTTTGAGGAAAGGGACTGCATGACGAGTGCATCAGGCAGAGCTGTTATTGACGATCTGGAACGGACCCTTGAGCAGTGGCAGTGGGCGTCACAGAGGGATTACTGATATTTGAAATTAGACATTATCTTTTTAGTTTGTAATATTTGAAATTATTGTTCTTAGTTTTTAAAATTCAATATTATCTTTTTAGTTTGTAATATTTGAAATTATTGTTGTTAGTTTTTAAAATGAAACATTATCTTTTAAAAATGAACACATAGAAATGACATAGTATTGACAATACAAGGCCTCATAGTAAAAGGTAGGTGTACATCAACAAAAACTACATGGCAATTAAATTGTTGCACGCGAGCATGGTACAAAGCATCCCAACCCTCCACGCTTGCTCTACGAATTTCATACCACTTCGGTATGATATGTGGGACCGGAAAATCGGGTGACATGTCTAATCGGATAAAATGTCTGTATGACGGCCCAAGAAATCCAATAGCAACGTCCCTTACCGGTCTGGTGACGGTCTCGCGCGAACACCAGGGCAGAACCGTTGTACATGGATAATAGGCTCGACTATGTAAACCAAGGCCGAAATGCATGACTGCACACTTGTAGATGTTTGCAACGGCAAAGAGATCAAGTGGCGCATCGAACCAATGATTTTGACCGCAAGGTCCCCCTCCCCACCGGATACGCTGCAGAGACCTATCCAAGTCCTCGCCGTACACATGGCCATACACATCTCGGTTTGATGCAATTTCACTGTACATCAACTGCCGCACTAAACCGTAGTTGTCTTCACCCATTTGAAACACATCCGCCACAACCCGAAATCCGCAGTTACCATCTGCAATGACATCATTCCACCCGTCCAAGAATGGCATCATGATATTAGGGATCCTGTCCTTATATGGAAAATGTTCAATGTCCATTCTCCCTGTTACACACATCAATAAACACAATAAACAAGTCAACAGTAAACTAATCAAACAGTCAACAAAAGAAATTGAAGTCGAATGTCTTACCGGTGCCGGGCATATTCACCGACGACGATGATTGGCTGCCACTTGATGAGGATGTACGACCACGGCCACGGCCACGGCCACGACCGCGAATGTACTCAAACGCACTCTTGTTCCGCCGTGGTTGTCGACCCCTAGGTCGCTCGACCCCTTCCGGTTCCTCGGTATCCAAACACGATGTATTGAACATGTCATGAAGTATGTGTGTAGCACTACGAATGATCGAAGGGTGACTGGAGGACACTTGGTCAAACATCATCTGAAACTGCTCCAACTCCTCCTGTTCACGGTGAACCGTATGCGGAACAACATGCTCTCCGATAACGAGCGTCCGCCAGAATGGATGAACCTGATCGACATGTAACGACGCCCTGTCTTGCGTAATTACGAGGTGAATGGTGCATGCACAAGGTAATCCATGAGTCATTGATATAGCACATCCGCACCGAATAGCCACTTCATCGCCCAACTCCCTCATCCTGGTATACTCGCTCAGAATCAACCCCAAACAGTGGTGTGACACACGACCGTGGAGAATCTTAAATATGAAATGGCCATACAACATGCCATGTCGTCGTCTGGAGTCCTCGAGATAGTTCTTGATGCCGTTCCTCTGAGTATCAATAGCCTTGTTTATTCTCTCGAACAGTGTATCCAGAGCAGCCGTGGAAGAATCAATCCAGTCCTTCAAAGCTCTATGAGCGCTCTCGACTCTGCATGTCGTAGTGTTCCCAAAATGAAGAACTTGGTTCGTCCAATATTTGACAAACTTTTCCCTCTGAGGTACCCACTGATGCATCACATAGTCTACGATTGGCGGGCACCACTTGTACGCATCCTTGAAGTTTTCCAAGGCTCGATCGTACTCTGCCTCTGTGGTAGCTTGCATGATCTTCCGCCACTTACCATTTACCAATGTCTCTGCTGTTACTAAATTCTTGTTGAAAAGATTGTAGGCTTTGACTTTCACGCAGTTGTTGATGTGCCATGTGCACAGTAAATGGCTCGACTCCGGAAACAGCTCCGCTATAGGGGCAAAAAGACCTCCCTCACAATCACTTACGATGGCCGATGGCTGTACATTTGGGCCGATGTAGTTTCTCAACTTTTCCAACACCCAACGGTAACTCGCAGCCGTCTCATCCTTCATGACTGCATAACCAATCAGAAAGTTCTGGTTTGTTGGAGCCATCCCAACCATCTCAACCAGTGGGAACTTGTACTTGTTTGTCTTGTACGTTGAATCGATCAAAATCACAGATGGCCAAGACGAAATCATATCAGCACAATCAGGATGGACAAGGAACAAATGAGTTACCTCCGATGTGTCTTCGTCAGATTCAAACCAGTAAAGGTAACCACGTGCTTGTGCCTGGTGCAGAAGCTGCTGTATAGGGTTCCTTCCCTCTGACCGTTCAAACCTCAATTTCTGTCTGACGTTGTAGATGTGTCTTCGGTTTGGCTGGTCTTCGGGGAATTTCTCTAACACAGACGCTAATATTTTAGCGGGCTTCACTTGAGCATCACTCATTTCTTTTACAACTAGTTTCGCAGCTGGACTTAGGCCGCTTAACTGCCGATGCCCCACTTTGTATGCTATCAGCTCATGGTTGTGATATCCCCATTTGCCGTAACCCTTCACTTCCCAACCGTCACGCCTTTGATGTTGTCGAACCTTAACTCGAAACTGACACCCACAACCTTTCCGCTTTGAGTCAAACCGAATCGCTTTACTGAAATCTCGTTCTTCTCTTTTGCGATAACGGTCGCATCTCAAAATGCGATCCATTCTACCATCCCGTTGAGATTTATGAGTTGCTACTACTAAACAAAAGCCTGATCTAATTGCAACCTGTTTTGCCCAATCAATCGCTTGTTGAGCATCTTCGAACAGGCCATCATGTACAAAAATCCCACTGTAATCATTTCCGTCTCCACCATAATCCTGTAACAATAACATATAACGTATAAATATAATTACATTAAGATTAAATTAACAAAAACAAACAAAAAAAAAAAAAAAGGGATTAAATTAAAAAATAAAAAATAAAAAATAAAAAAAAAATATATTCCCCTAGTGGCGCCTGGCCAGGCGCCTTGGCCGTGGCTGCGGCGTCCTGGCCACGCGCCACTACTATGGTCGAGGCTTCTCCACCAGGCGCCGTTACCACGGTGGCGGCGTCTTGGCTAGGCGCCACAACCACGGCATGGCCTTTTGGCTAGGCGCCAGCCACCATTTCGTCCTTACGATGCGTTACGAACCTCGTTTTCCGATGACGACGGCGATTCTCCGGTGATCCTCGGCGATCCGGTGCTGCTCCACATTTTTTTAGTGCGAAAAATTTATCTTCGGTTAAAATTATAAAAAGGGCAAATTTGTCAAAAAATTATAAAATGTGGGCTTTATGTAGAGATTTGCGGGCGATGAATAACAAGTCCCATATGTAGACCTAAAGACTATATATAAGCATGAAATACACTCTTAAAAATTATATTTTTAGGTGAATAGAACTAAGCCCAATCTACTTAATACTTATACTCCGTACTTTCTTTTGTTTTTTTAGATGCATCACATTCTATGTATGAGAGTTTCAATTTATATGCATCATTTTTTCTTTCTTTCTCTCTATCTCTTTTATCTAAAATTCCCTAGAAGTCCATAAATTTAAAAATGATGCATCTAATAAAAAATGGAGGAAGTACAATGAACTAATGAACTTGTAAATTCAAACCTTTCAATGGCTTTGAAAGAAAAAATAAAAAAATAATTTCGTGACTCTTATCATCACTTCATCATTATACTCCTGTTTTAAAATACTTGCTACATTTCTCCTGGGCACGTATGCTGGTACCAATCCTTGATCAATAATATTTTTAATTTTGCAATAAACATATATATTATAACAATTGAAAATTAATAATATATTCATTGAGACGATATGATTCCAACAAATACCCACAAGGCTATATTTGTTTTTTTATGTATAAATCACAAACATTAGTCAAAGTAGTATAAATGAAAAATGCAAAAAATAGAAATAAAACAAGTATTTAAATATGGGGGAGTAATTCATTTTTTTTTTTTGGAAACAAATATTTTGATAATGACAGTTATCCAATTGAGGAGCTTCTGACAAGATTAATAATTTGGAAGATACAATATATTGGTTGGTAAGGTTTTTTTTGTCTATAGTGAGCTAATGACAACGCATATGGTAAAGTCGATTTCGTTACACCACATATAGAGAGATACAGAGGTAGTTGTATAGTAGCTTAAAATTTGTGAATTCGTCACTTTACAAATTTTAATTTTATACGCCCTAACTAGTTATTAGAGCTCCAATTAATTTGAACTGTCCCAGCAACACATCATTTATTTAAGCAGTCTTAGCTTGTGATATTATATTATTATGCCGTGTGTGTAAGTAGAAAACATAACCAATACTTTGACTCCGTTTATTATGATAGAAAATGATAGAGTATAAAACATATCACTGGCCCTCAATTATCAGTTTAGCTTTTGATTGAAATGGTCCACTAACATGGTATCGGAACCAACATGACACAAAGGTCAGAGGTTAAGAACTCATCCACCCCCACTTTCATGTGGAATATTTAAAGAAAAAGGTTAATGGGATGGAGTAAAAGGATAGAGAAGAGAAAATAGAAAAGCGAGGGTAACATACTTTTCTTAAAAAAAGAAAATACTTTGTTCGTATTTGGGGAAAAACTGAAAACTGAAGCTGATTGTGTTAGCTGATTTTAACTAGCTGATTGTATTGTTTGTATTTGGGGAAAAACTGAAAACTGAAGCTGATTGTGTTAGCTGATTTTAACTAGCTGATTGTATTAATTGATTTGACTAACTTATATTTTATTAGCTTATTCTATAAAAGTGTTTGGTAAATAGCTGATTGTTTAAAGCTGATGGATGATTATGTGAAATGACCAATAAGATAATTGTGGGGTAGATAGTTCATATAGGATTTTAAATTAAATGGGGGTATAAGTGTCATTTCACCATAAAGGATAAATCTAATTGAAAAAGCTCTTAAAAGAACCTTTTTGAAAAAGAACTTATTTAGTGGAATAAACTCTTAAAATAAGCTTCCCACCAAATACCTTGAATTAGCTTATTTAATAGTCAATAAGCTAATTTGAAACTAAGCATTTTTCAAGAACATATTTTCCACCAAAACAAGCAGATCTTCGGTTCTTTTTTATGCTTCATTTTCACTTTTTACTTAGTACTTTTTCATCCTTTTATAGATAACTACTCCTAGCTAGAATAGTTAGAAATTATAAATAGAGGAAAGAAAACCAAACTTGTATTCAATTTAATGAAAAAAGTACTACAACTATTCACTTAATCTTCTTTGACCATCTTTTGTGATTTATCAATTAGGAAAGATATAGTCATGTGAAATCTCGTTAGATTCGTCTTGAAAGCTAATTTTCAAAGATTAATTTTTTATAATTTTTACAAAAGTATAATTAAAGATATTAATAGTCAAAGTAATGCATTGGCAAGCGTGAAACCGCTTACGGTGCAATAAAAAAGAGCAGAGGAAGTATATAAAATGCAAAACTGTATATAAAATGAAAAACTAAGCTAAAAGTAGGAAACAAGATCCCATATTTACTACTTGTTTTAATTTGCCCCAACTTCTTTCTCTCTCTAGAAACCTCTCTCTCCCTCTCCCATAAACCGCCGCTCCCCTTCTTTTTCTCCGGCTATGAGGCTCGCCGGCGGGCCTGTGGCTCACCGCCCATGGCACAGCGTCGGCGAGCCTCCGATCTACCCCTTTTAGTTTGTTTCTTTCCTTTTCCGTTATGGTTTTTCGTTTTTTCAGCCTTTCATCTTGCGCCGCACCGCTTCGTCCGCCGTCGCTGTTCATCTTCGACCGTGCGGCCGGCCAGCCGCTGTTTTTTTGTACCGCCGCGCCTACGCCCCATCTCCTTGGCCGTTGTCGCGACGCTGAGTACGAGAACGGGGAGGGGGAGTTTTCTAAGTCCCTCGTGTAGGGCCGTTCTGAGTCCCTCGTGTAGGGCCGTCGTTGCCGCGACTCAGGGGCGTGTGGGGTTCGGGCTTCTCGGGCGGGTCTCGGCGGTCCGTGCGTTTCTTTGTGGCGGTTTGTGGGCTGGGTCGGTGAACCCCGGAGCGTTGGTGGTGGGGCTCGATTTGGCGGCGGGGTGGGATGTTAGGGTTTCGTTCTTTGTTTTAGGTTTTAGTTTTCGTTCTGTTTTTTCTTTTAGAAGTATTGGTGTTCTTTTTAGTTGTTTTATTTTTTCTGTTTGTGTGGTGTGTTGGGGTGATATGGGGCTTGCAGATCGGTGTACCGATCTTCTGGTGCAGGATTTAAGCCGGGTTTTTTGGCTATGGGGCTTCGGTTTGATCTTCTGTTGGTTTGGGCTAAAGGGTTTTGCTTCCATGTCGATATCCGTGTTTGAATTGGAGTTTGTCTTGTCTATGGTGAAGTGTACGACACCATTTTTTATTTCAGGTCGAGGAGTACGGGATTCTGAGCCAATGAAGGTTCTCGTCAGAAATTACAACATATTGCCAGACCCCCTTGCAAGAGGCTGCATAGGACAGCGTTATATGAGCCAAGGGTACTTAAGAAAGTCATTTTGCGCGTGCAATTGTAGTTTCTTTTATTTCGAACTTGTAATTGGTTCGGTTGTCTTTGTATTGTTCGATTACGATCTCTTATGTAAGTGTCGTATGACTTATTATTAATGAATTTAATCTCCCCCCTTCAAAAAAAAGGAAACAAGATCCCATGATCTGATAATCATTTGCCTAGCTAATTACTATTAACCCATTAAACCCACTATCATTATATACTAGCACAAACTAATCACTTAGGAAGTTAGGAGAGCATATTGGTTTACATTAGAAGTACATTTTTAATTTTTACATTAGAAGTAAATTAATCACTGACAATTCTTTTGTTGATAAAGTAATTCTGAATATAGAATTGGAAAATGTGCAAATTACAGCCATATATTTTAATTTAGTATTTTGTAAATTCCAACCATTTTTTTTTAAAAAAAATTGCAAATTGTAGCCCAAAAGTTCTTAGAAATTGTAAATTACAGCTCGATTCATCTTTTTTTTGTTAGTTTACGTGTCAAAAAATATTTGATTAAGGTTTTAGGGGCCATTGTAGGTCTTAAGGATCTGAATTGAGCTCGCAATTAGTAAAAAAAATAATATAAGTGCCTCATTTTTACTGCAAAAAAATAGTTGCCTACAAATCAATACATTTTTGTTACACAAAATGAGGCACTTATTACTTTTTTTTTTTTTTGCTAATTTTGAACTCAATTCGGACCCTTAACAACTAAAATGACCCCTAAAACCTTAAACGAATATTTTTCGATACGTAAACCGATGAAAAAATTGAATCGGGATGTAATTTACAATTTATAAGAACTTTTTGGCTGCAATTTGTATAAGACAAACTTTAATTAAATGGCTGTAATAGGCAAATTTTCATATAAAATTTAATTAATTTCCAACAAGCTATATGAGCCAGACGGATCGGATTATGTATGCTTATATACATAAGCTCTATTAAAATTTTGTTAATTTTCTAATAATATATAATGGAGATCGGAGAATATGTGGTCGATCGATTGGCTCGTTGTACTTGTTATGGCTGATGATGTTCCACTGATCCTAAGCTCATTTGTCAACCAAACATCTCTTGTTTTAAATTTTTAAGATACTTCGTATTAGACTTCCACCAACAAATATTATTGTAAATTTGTAATCAAACATGCAATACCTCCGTTTTTAGGAGAAAGCTAAGGGAAAATAGTAATAATTCTAAAAAAAAGTATTCTTAATTGGATCTTGCTAACGAACATCTCCGGGGCGTTGGATAAGCATTTAAAATATTACCTAAAATGATATTAATTTGGCAAAACATGACAAAATTTCGCGTCGATCGGTGTAATTAATGTTCATTTTAATGTAATCTTTCTATTTTTACCTACTTATCCAACGCCCCGGGGCGATCGTTAGCTTTTTCCTCCTTAATTAATGTGCATCACATGTACACCTTTCTTTTCAAATCACATAATTGTTTTCATAGATATGAGAGCCTAATATAATACTCCTGAGTCCTCCTAGGCGCATAGTGACTATTTGTTTGGCTTGTAAATAGGAAGGCAATTTGGGATCCGATGGTAAATTTTTTTTTCTCTCTTAATAATGGTACAGTGGTACAAATTTGTGTACTACTATGCATGTATAATGTACCATTAAAGCATAAGTTGTTTGAATAGTTTTTTTTTCTCTCTTAATAATGCTACAGTGGTACAAATTTGTGTACTACTATGCATGTATAATGTACCATTAAAGCATAAGTTGTTTGAATAGTTTTTTTTGTGTACTATTATGCATGTAATAGTAAATTTTGCCATGCATCATATTTTCAACCCTCATGTTCCCATTATTTACAACAATGACATCCTATATGCATTGCTTGTAAATAGGCCCTTAGGAGTTTTCCAATGCTCCTTATTTCCCTTATTGATAGTCTTTTATGGACAATTTTCACGGAAATTAATAAACATAAATAGTAACTAGTATAGTACATTGAAAAGGTTAATTTACATTGGGTATGCAAAAAAGTAGAGAGTGAAAGTAATAAAAGTATATGAAAAAATAAAATTTACATGGAAAAACTAACTTACACAAATATTGTTGAAAATTGGAGGGGATTTTGGTAAAAATTAATATTAATGGTACTTGAAAAAAAGCAAATAGGACGATCATTTTGAGACTTAAAATTGGCCATAAGAGACTATTAATAAGGGACGGAGGGAGTATAAGTCAAATCTTGTCATTAAAAATGCGTTAATGATGGTGAAAAAAAAGGCATTAATGATGGCTCAAAAAAGAAAAAAAAAAGAAAGATTGATGACAATGTTACTAGTTATGGAAAAATTAGGGTTTACACAAATAATTTATTAAGTGTCTTTTCATCACAAGGGTCAGGCCACAAAAATAAAACGACAACTCAATCTATGTGCTTTCTTTCAAGCAACTGCATGTATATATTAATGAGAGCTCGTAAAGAGCAAAATCTTTTAAAGACGAATGGAATATTATAAAAGGCAATGCAAATAGCCAACCTTTTAAACACCTAAACTTCTTGCTTAATACCACATCATACACTATAACACCCATCAACCAGAAAACTTGAAATACAACAGAAGAAAAATGAGCGTGAAAGTGAATGAACGCACCATGGTGTGTCCCGAAAGCGAGACGCCTAGTCAAAGTATTAGGCTCTCACGCCTAGATATGGTGGTACGTATGCCTTATTCACACACTTCTGTTTTATACGTTTACCCTGCACAAAACATTAAAAACAATTTCGCCTCATTTCTTGATCCGGATTTTTTAAAATGGGGTCTTAGTCAAATTTTAGTTCAATTCTACCCGTTGGCGGGTAGGTTAAAGATGAATGGTGTCGATGAGATTGTAATCGATTGCAATGCGAAGGGGGCCTTGTTCATCTACGCCGAAACAACCCATAAGCTTACTGACCTTGAGGAAGGTAAGCCTAACTACGGTGAGCTACGAAAGATGGTGATTCCTACGTGTGATTACTCCAAGGGGTTGTCCTCATTCCCTTTGTTTATGGTGCAATTCACTCGCTTCGAGTGTGGGGGTGTAGCCATGGGTGTTGCTTCACATCACCATGTTGCTGATGGTATTGCACATACCTATATTATCAACTATTTTCTTAGGTTTATACAGGGACGTGACATCCCGGTAGCACCCGTTTTCGATAGGTCGGCTGTCCGTCAGCTTGCACCGCGTAACCCGCCACAGGTCAAGTTCCGACACTTGGAGTATGAGCCAAGTTTACCACCCTTGCCACCAAACAGTTCGACAGGTTTGTTAACCATAAATATTTTTATTATTAATTATGTGTTAAATTAAATTGTACTTACATATATATATATATATATATATATATAGAGGAAGGCTCATGTAAGAACCCTCCTCTATATAAGAACTCAATCTTATATAAGAACCAATCTCAACCATTTATTAGTTTTGATCCAACCATCTAAAACCATCCTTTAGTAATGGCATTTCTGTAATTCTTTTTTTATGTTCTAAATTTTTTTGCCTACTCTTATGTTCTAAATCTAGTCTACCTATTTTCTAATTTTTTTTTCTATGTTCCAAATTTAGTCTACTTATATACTAAAGTTTTTTTTTTTTTTTCTTCCTATGTTCTAAATTTTTCCAACCTATGTTCTAAAGTTTTTTTTCTTCTTCTTATGTTCTAAATATTCTTTTACCTATGTTCTAAATTCTTTTGCCTATGATCTAAATTCAGTCTACTTATGTTCTAAAGTTTTTTTTTCCTAAGTTCTAAATTTTTACTACCTATGTTCTAAAGTTTCTTTTTTTTTCTTTTTTTTTGTTTACGTTCTAAATATTCTTTTACCTATATTCTAAATATTCTTTTATCTATGTTCAAAATTTTTTTTTCTATGTTCTAAATTTAGTCTACTTATGTTCTAAAGTTTTTTTTTCCTGTGTTCTAAATTTTTTCAACCTATGTTCTAATTTTTTCCTATATTCTAAATTTTTTCTACCTATGTTCTAACGGTTTTTATTTCCTATGTTTAAAATATTCTTTTCCTATGTTCAAAATTCTTTTGCCTATGTTCTAAATTCAGTCTACTTATGTTCTAAAGTTTTTTTTTTTTTTTATTTTTTATTATTTTTTTTTTTTTTATGTTCTAAACTTTTACTACCTATTTTCTAAAGTTTTTCTTATATAGTTATTTATAAATATTGCCTATGTAGGATTCGAACCTATATCAACTATGCATTTGCATAGTGCTCTACCACTTGAGCTAATAGGTTTTTAATATAAATCAACACCCTCCCATAGAAGCCGAGGAAAACAATCACATGCAATGTAGAAACTCAAATGCGACAATTTTGCATAAAGAAGATCTATGGACACCCCATTGAACTTAAATCTCATCACCGGGACAAAAGCATCAGGCACAGGGTGCAACTTTGTAACCTCAGGCATCTCAGAAAGCATCTAATGGAGTTCTTCGAAGAAATCTTCCTATATCCAGTAAAATATAACAAGTTAAGGGGCACTAAAGTAGCAAAAAATAATGGAAAAAGTATAGAAGCAGACAAAAGTTATATCTTACCTCTCGCGTAGCATGTCTAGGGGCAACACATAGGATATTTATATCAACTCCAGGACTACGCACCTATTTACAACAACCAAAAAAAAACAAGAAGAAGAATTTAAAGCATAAGAAAACAAATATCTAGAACATAGGAAAAAATTTAGAACATAAGCTGAAAAAATAATTTAAAACATAGGAAAAAATTTAGAACATAAGCTGAAAAAATAATATAGAATATAGGAAAAAAAAATTACTACATAGGAAAAATTTAGAACATAAACAAACAAACATATGAAAAATAATTTAGAACATAGGAAAAAATTTAGAACATAAATTGAAAAAATAATTTCGAACATAGAAAAAAAATTTAAAACATAAGCTGAAAAAATAATTTAAAATATAGGAAAAAATTTAGAACATAAGAAAAACTTTAGAATTTAGGAAAAAAATTTAGATTATAGGAAAATTTAGAACATAAGCAAACCAACTTTTAAAACATAAGAAAAAATTTAGAACGTAAGCTGAAAAAAAAATTTAGAACATAGAAAAAAATTTAAAACATAAGCTGAAAAAAAAATTTAGAACATAAGGAAAAAAAAATGTATAATATAGGAAAAAAAATTTAGAACATATGAAAAATTTAGAACCTAAACAAACAAACATTTAGAATATATGAAAAATAATTTAGAATATAGGAAAAAATTTAGAACATAAGCTAAAAAATAAATTAGAACATAGGAAAAAATTTAGAACATAAGCTGAAAAAAAAATTTAAAACATAAGAAAAAATTTAGAACATATGCTGAAAAAAATTATTTAGAACATAGAAAAAAAAAATTTAGAACATAAACAAACAAACATTTAAAACATATGAAAAATAATTTAGAACATAGGAAAAAATTTAGAACATAAACTGAAAAAAATAATTTAGAATATAGGAAAAAAATTTAAAACATAAGTTGAAAAAATAATTTAGAACATAGGAAAAAATTTAAAACATAAGCCGAAAAAATAATATAGAATATAGGAAAAAAAATTTAAAACATAGGCTAAATTTAGAACATATGAAAAATAATTTAGAACATAGGAAAAAATTAAGAACATAATCTGAAAAAATAATTTAGAATATAGGAAAAAATTTAAAACATAAGTTGAAAAAATAATTTAGAACATATGAAAAAATTTAGAATGTAAGCTGAAAAAATAATTTAGAATATATGAAATAATTAGAACATAAGCAGAAAAAAAATTAGAACATAGGAAAACTTTAGAATATAAGCCGAAAAAAGTTTAGAACATAAAGAGGGGTTCTTATATAAGATTGGGTTCTTATATAAGGAGAGGTTCTTACCGAATCCCTCCCCTATATATATATATATATATATATATATATATATATATTGGTACAAAAAATGTACTTGTATATATTAGCTATAGAGTTGTCAAAAACCGACCCGAACTGGTAACTCCGAACTGTTTCAAAAAGGAACTGAACCGTTAACAACCCGTTATGTTATAACCGTAAACTGACCCGACCCGATTTTTTAAAACCTGAAACTGAACCGATCCAAATATTTGAAAACTGTTAAGAAACCGAACCCATTTTCCAGCGAACCGATGCAACCCGAAACCGAGAACAACCCGAACCGAGTACTGCCGAACCCAATAGTAACCCGACCTAGTGTAAACCGAAACTGTTAAAATCCGACAAAAACCCGATTAACCTGAACCGTTTATAACCCGTAATCGGTTATGACCGAACCGTTTACAACTCGTAACCAGTTATGACCGAACCGTTTACAACCTGTAACCGGTTATGACCGTGATTATAGGGTTTGAATGAAAAAAATTGAAGCATAGTTGAAGTTTGCCGATTTTGATTAGGTTTCATTATTGGTGATTTTGGGAAGGTTTTCTTTTTTTTTTTTTTTTTTTTTTTTTTTGGACAGGTATTTTGGGAAGATGAATAAGGCCATTGGATTAAAGATGGGTTTAATTAGCGGTTATGAGGGTGTTTTGACGAGGGGAATGGATTCTAATCCGTGATTTTTTCGAGTGGCCAATGAGAAATATAACTCAATAGTTAATACTATTAAAGAGATTATAACTAACTAACTATTACTAGCTTACTGTTATTTGTAACTTACTAACTTGCTAGTTAAAACAAAATATAAATTCAAGTCTACAACTAATAAAATTAAAGTATAAATTATAATTTTTACTATAAGTATATAACGTGTTTAAAACTGACCAATTGCAAGTTTACAACTCAATTCGTTCTAATTCATTACTCGATCAATGTACTTTGTTTAAAGTCTTTAAACCTTTATTCAATTTTGACATGTTTAATACATTTTAATATTTTATTACCCGATAAGTCCATTATCTATATGACCCGACTTGATTATGACTTGAGTCAATTGACTCGTTTCAACTCATTATTCGATTAACCCAACTTATTTATAACTCATATTAATTAACCGAGCATATTTATGACTGGAACCAAATTTCAACTTGTTCTAATAATTTTCGTTACCTATTTAACCTAACTTGTTTAACTCATAACTCGATTTTAAGTTGATCTGATTTGAATTCGTGTATGAGTTGTAACCTAAGTCATTTGATTTGAATTCATGTATGAGTCATAACTTGTTATACGTACAATATGACCTAATAAACCTAGTTCTTTATAACCTGCTCAATTATATCCTAATTCACTTGATTTGTTTAACTCACTATTCAATCAACCCAGATTGTTTTGTGACCCTTATTAATTAATTGTGACTTTGTGAGTTAGGATTTTACCCAATTCTTCATAACCTTTTCAATTATATCCTAACTCACTTGATTTGTTTAACTCACTATTCAATCAACCCAACTTGTTTTATAACCCTTATTAATTAATTGTGACTTTGTGAGGTAGGATTTAATCCAATTTGTTTTGAACCAAAACTCGTTTTTAAATCGACCGAGTTCAACTAGAACCGATTATGACCCTAACCGATTATAATCTGACCCGAATAGGACCCGATCTGTTTTGACCCGAAAACCGTTCTAAATTGGAAAACCCCGTTTTCAAACTGACCAAGTTAAACCTGATCCGATTATGACCTGAATGAACTGATTACAACCCGACCCGATTAGGACCCGATATGTTTTGACCCGAAACCCGCTTAAAACCGAAAAAATCCGTTTTCAAACTGTTGAGTTCTACCCGAACCGATTACAAACCGATCTGATTAGAACCGAACCCGAATAGAAACCGTAGTTAAAAAAACCCAAACCGAACTTACCCGATTTTATTTAAAATCAAACTGAATCGACCCTTACTTATTTAAACCCGTTATAAACCGACCCATTACAAACCGAAAACTTATAAACCGAACCGTTAACCCGATTGACACCTCTAATTAGCTATAATTTGTTTTGTATTTTGTGGTACATGAAAATCTGTCGTTTGAATATGATTCTAAATGTCTCACATGACACTGTAATTGACATTGACAAGATGACATAAATTTGGCTATTAATATTTGCAATTATAGCATGTGTTATTCATTCTTTTTTTTATTATTATTAAATACATCACTTAATTGGATTTTTTTCACTATTAAAAGTAGAGATGAATAGTGCAAAGATTAAATGGTTGCATTTCTTCTTATCTTACTTTATTAAAAGTTTAACCAAACACTTATGAATAGTGTTATGTTAACTATATCCTTGAAAGTGCTATTTACATAAATATTCTTATTTAAGCATGCATGCAAATCTGAAAATTTCACCATACACCCAGGTGTACCATGAGTATGGTACACTCAGTTATAATACAAGGTTATTAAAAATCGCGGAAAGAACATTGCATACAAATTAAAGTACATGAGTCAAAAAAAAAAAACAAAACGATTCCCTCCTTAATTTAAGGTATTGATTTGTTATTTATATTCTTTGATTCATAAAATTGATTTATTATTTATATTTTATATATTAATAGAATACTTTTGATGAATAGAAGTTCATTTATTTTGTTAAGAGAGAGAAAGCATAGTAAATTTTGTATTTCTAAGTGATTCAATGTTATAATAGAGTTGATTTTATCGTTCCAATATAATCTCTTAATGATGTAATTGATTAATTCATTGTCGAGAGAAAAGGTATTTTTTTTAAAAAAAAATCATTGTTTTCGTGCTATTTTCTGAGGTTGAAGATGATGTTCTTCGTATTATGATAAATGTTCTGTTATCATTTCTTGATACATATTCTTTTTTATTGGAATGTAATATGTTCATTAAATCTGATCAATGTTCTTTGTATATGAACTATATGTTCTTTACATTATAAACATTGTGCTTTAATTTATGTAGATTAAAAATGTTCTTTGTTGGGTTTCATTAATACAAATAATGTTCTTTAACTTAGATAGTATGTTCTTCTTAATATGCATTTTCTTTAAACCTCGTATTATTTCGGGTATTATGTCTTTTTTTTTTTATCATTGCGCCCTCTTGTTTTATCCCTTATGTTTTTTTGGTAATCGTGAAAATATAATTAATTTTTGTATATATTTTTTTTAAAAAAATTGAAATAAAGTATATTGAAAATGAAATTTTAAATTTTGAATTTTTGAAATTTGAAAATGAAATCTTGAATTATTTTAGGTAGAAAATAATTTTAGATAAAGAAATTCTAGAAACTCAATATTTTGAAATGATTTAACATTAAATGCATGGTAAAATCAATTAGTAACTATCTATTACATTTTTTTAAAATTAGTTTCTCATAACTTACCATGTTCTTTATATTTCAATGATGTGTTCTTTTATAATTTAATGATGTTCTTTACATTTATAAGCTATGTTCTTTCTGCTTTAATCCGAGTGTACCATGCACATGGTACACCCGGGTGTACGAACCAACCGTTGGACAAATCACGTGCGTGGTATTTATTTTTTCCTTTTGTTTTTACCAGCGTAGCTCTATACTTTTTTTTTGGCCTTTTTTTCTCTACCTTTTTAAAAGTTTAAGATAACTCTTATAAAGAGTGTTTGGACAATCATACCTTTTAAAGTTGTGATATAAACCCAAATTGAAGTAGATTCCCGAACAAGGCTAGCTATTTGCGCGCATCGCGCGCTTTAGCCATCCTAGTAAGAGTTAAGGATGAAGCATGTCACAAACTCACAATGTATACTTTTATAATATATATCAAATTTCTATAGTCTTATTAATAGATTATTAGATACATTTATGATCAAAGTTATGTGTCGCCATACTTATTTGGTCAAATCATAAAACTTTGCACAAATAGAGGGAGTAGTATTATATCAGTAAAGTCATCAATTAAATTAAACTACCTAATTAATCATGTCGCGATTAAAGTGTAACATTTAAAAAAAAAACAAAAAGGAGAATGGTATTGTCACCATAAATGAGGCAAGGGTTTTGTTTAATTTATCTCAAGAAATATTTGAATCACTGTAAAAACAATGTATTAATAAATTTATAAACAAAGAACTTAATAGTCATCGATATGTGTTATGCAACTGTTTAATTGAAACAAAGTTGGTACTTATAGTCTTATGTTAACTACGAATACTTAGTTAAACATTGGTATATTGCTGTGACATAACAAGTAAAATTAACTAATTACTCTGAACCAGGTGATATGGTAACTACTATCGAGGGTCACTTCAGTCTCACAAAATCTCTAATCGAAGCCTTAAAACTCGAAGCGACAATGCCGGTAGCAAAAGCAAATGGCTACATGCTAAGTACGTTCGAGGCAGGGGCGGATCTAGGGGGGGTTCAAGGGGGTTCATTGAACCCACAGATTTTTTGGAAAAAAAAAATAAGTTTTAATTTTTTTAAAAAAAAAAAAAAAAAAAGGTTTAAAAGAAATTTTGGTGAGAATAATTATCACACGGGTAAGTTTGACGCATTGGTAATTCTATGGAGAATAGAGCAACGCGCTCCTTTAGTACCTTAGGTCTTGGGTTCGACTCCTACTGCCCCCTTTTTTTGTACTTTTTTTTTAAAAAAAAAACTCCTTACATTCAGATTTCAATAAGTCATATTTCAAAAATCAAACATCAGACATTTTTCCCCAAATTCCCAAACACCAAAACCCTAACTTTAAAAAACTCCTTACATAAAGATCTGCCCCTGCCGCCGCGGCACGCCGGCACCGCACACTGAGACACCGACGGCCGACCAGGCGACCGGCGAGGCGGCGACCACCTCACGGAGATACGGACGACTGGACTGTGGACGACTGGACGAGGGACGACTCACGGACGAGTTCAGATTTCGAGTTCTTCTCTTCTACAATTGTGACTTTGTGAGTCCTCTTAATCTCTTATTCCTCATTTCCTCTACTCCTATTAAATCTTAATCTTGGTTTGCTTCATTGCTTGTTTTATTTTTTAAATTGGTTTATGGTTTTGATATATTGTTGAATTCTTGAATTCTTGAGAAATTGAATTGTAGAAAGTTAGAAGTTAGAAACTTAAAATTATAAATTTTTACTTGTTCTGTTAATTGAAATTTGATAATTAGAAGAAGTTTATATTGTCAAATTTGTGTTTATTGGGGACTTGTGATTTTTTTTTTTTTGAAAGGGAAGTGCTCTGCGAGCACAATTAGAATTAATCAGCTGAATCAACAGCAGCCAAGGCAGCAAGGCCTTGTTTATTGGGGACTTGTGATTTTAATTGATAATTAATTGTGTATTTTATGTATTATTGTAGATTTTAGAGCTTTTGTTACCATGAGTTTAGAGTCTTTTTGGAAACGTGCCGGGAAGTCACAAAAGTCCTCTACTTGTTCTTCACCTAGTTCAAGGAATCCTCCAATAGAAGAAGATGTTGTAACTCCTATTGATGATGTGGATATTGAGTCTCCTAATGATGATGCGGATGTCGTGTCTCCTAATAATGATGCGGTTCCAGTGGCTGCTTCAATTCCAATCCCTGAAAACACAACTCAAAGTAATCCAAATGCTAGTGTTGAGTCTGATGATACTCGCATTTATGATGTTCATCTTCTTCCACATGATCCTGGAAAAAGAATTCCAATTTTGGAATATCCTGCTACTGACAGGGATGCTGTGAGAAGAGGTTATATTACAATGAAACGTTGTGATCCACGCACTCATAATTTCCCTCGAAGAAAAATAGGAGGTATGCGTCGATTTAATGTTGCTTGGTTTGATAAATATGATTGGCTTGAATATAGTGTGGAGAAAGATGCGGCTTTTTGTTTTGTGTGCTACTTGTTCAAAGATAAAGTTGATTCTATGGCTGCTAATGATTGCTTTATTAAAGGGGGGTTTAGAGGATGGAATAAGATTGGTAGATTTAATATTCATGTGGGAGGTCTTGGTAGTTTGCATAATCAAGCTTATGAAAAATACAATTTTTTCATTAACCCAAAAACATCAGTTGCCGAATCTTTTTCCACTTACACCACAGAAGCTAAACTTCAATACAAATCTCGATTGACTTATTCATTAAAATGTATTAAGTTTCTTCTAAGTCAAGGCTTAGCTTGTCGTGGGCATGATGAAAGTGAAGACTCTTGGAATAGGGGTAATTTTCTTGCACTCTTAACATGGCTTTCAGAGAATAATAGTGATGTTGCAAAGGTTGTTCTAAGTAATGCCCCGGGAAATAATCAAATGACTTCTCCTTTAATTCAAAAGGACCTCATTAATTGTTGTGCCAAAGAAACCACTAGACTTCTCATTGATGATATTGGGGATGACTACTTTGGAATACTAGCAGATGAATCTAGTGATGTATCTCAAAAGGAACAATTGGCCCTTTGTTTGCGTTATGTGAATAATAAAGGGAAGATAACTGAGAGGTTTCTTGGAATTGTACATGTTAAGGATACCACTGCTTTGTCACTAAAGAGTGCAATTGAGTCTTTGCTTATGGAGTATTCATTGATTTTGTCTAGAGTTCGTGGACAAGGTTACGATGGTGCTAGTAATATGAGGGGTGAGATAAACGGTTTGAAGACTTTGATCATGAATGAAACAAAACAAGCTTATTATATTCATTGTTTTGCTCACAAACTTCAATTAACCCTTGTTGCTGTTGCTAAGGATAATGATGATTGTATTTGGTTGTTTGACCAACTTGCTATTTTATTGAATATTATTGGTGTTTCTTGTAAGAGAAGGGAAATGATAAGAGAAATACAATCTCAACATGTTCTAGAAGCATTAGATTTAGGGGAAATTGAAAGTGGGCAAGGTTTAAACCAAGAACTTGGTTTAGGTAGGCCTGGTGATACTAGGTGGGGGTCACACTACAAAACTGTTTCAAATGTTACCTCATTATATGCTACTATTGTCAAAGTTCTCGAGAAGGTTGGATCAAATAAGCTTTATAAGGATGATCGTGTAAAGGCTATCACTGTTATGTCTACATTTGAATCCTTTGAGTTTGTTTTCATGATACATTTGATGTCTGAAATATTTGGGCAAACTGATAAATTGTGTCAATCTTTGCAAAGAGGAGACCAAGATATTGTTAATTCCATGTCATTTGTTACGGTGACTAAGGAACAATTGCAACAAATGAGGGACCATGGGTGGGAAGAATTTTTGCATCTTGTGCTTTCTTTTTGTGCTAAACATAATGTGGAAGCTCCTAATATGGATGATATGTATGTTCCTCGTGGAAGATCAAAACGCTTCTTTGCCAAAGTGAAAAATCTTCATCGTTTTAGAAATGTATTTAAGTGTCATTGATTTACAACTCCAAGAGCTCAATAATAGATTTGATGAGAAAAAATATGGAGTTGCTTATTTGTATGTCATGCTTAAACCCGGTAAATTCATTTGCGGCATTTGATAAGCAAAAGTTGATGAGACTTTCCGAGTTATATCCCGAAGAGCTTCCAACTAATGACATGACAATGACTGCTCTTCGTCATGAACTTGGTTTCTATATTAATGACATGCGTACAGATGCAAGGTTTGGAGACTTGAAGGTTATTAATGAGCTTTCTATGATGCTTGGTTAAACAAATAAGCATACTTCTTACAAATTAGTTTACTTGTTGATAAGACTAGCATTGATCCTTCCGGTGGCGACTGCAAGCGTGGAACGAGTGTTTTCATCAATGACTTATGTAAAAAATAAGTTGAGGAATAGTATGGGTGATCAACTATTGAATGATAGTTTAGTTACTTATCTTGAGAGAGACTTATTTGCAAGAGTTAGTGATGATGATGTATTAGCACGCTTTCAAAGTATGAAAACTCGAAGAATGCTTTTGTAGTTTTTTTTTTTTTTTTTTTTTTTTTTTTTTTTTTTTTTAGTGTGTAATCCATCCATTTGTAATAAAAATTTGAATTTATGTATTGAATTTTTAATCAATATATGATCATCGTTTTTTTTTTTAAGATTTCGAACCCACGGTTCGGAATTCCTGGATACGCCACTGGTTCGAGGTGGTAGCTGCGCATGTGTGGCGAAGTTCATGTAAGGTGCGCGGATTAACAAGGGATCAACCGGTGAAGCTCTACATACCAATTGATGCAAGGTCGAGAATAAAGGATGATCCAACCATGCCAAAATGGTATTTTGGGAACTTAGTTTTTTTTACGGCTTGTATTGCATAAGCAGGAGACATCATATACAAGCCGTTATGGTATGTTGCGAGTAAGATTCACGAGGCTTTAGAAAAAGCAAAAGACATTGAATACTTGAAATCAGCCGTTGATTACTTGGAATCGCAATCAGAACCTGTGGTGGTCCTTAGTGGCCCCAGAGTGTTTCAAGTCCAAATCTTTTAATAAACTCTTGGGTTCATATTCCTTTTTCTAAAGCAGATTTTGGTTGGGGTCAGCCCAAATTTTTGGGAAATGGTGGGATCAAATATGAAGGTCTAGGCTTCTTGGGTCCAAACCCAAATATGGATGGTAGCTTTTTATTGAGCATTAATCTTTTTAAAGTTCACAAGCCTCACTTTGAGAAATGTTTGAATGAGCTTAAAATTATTCCCAAAATATGAAAATCATATATGGGGAGTATGGCCAGGTTATGATTGTGTTAATTATTTTTAATGTCTGAGGCGATGTTGGGATGTTGATGAATTGGATGTGTAGAGGTGGATCGAATTGGGTTGATTCATCCTATGTGTTCATGTGGATCGAATATTGGTATGAGTCAATATGGATTAGTTGGATTGGTTCAAGTTATGACAACTCTTGAGGTTAAGTTTGGCAGCTGAATTATTGATGGCTTTCTTTCAAGTATTTATAATGTTCATAATTTTCATCTGAATTGATACATTCAGATATGATGCTTTTCTTTCAACTATTCATAATGTTCACAAGTATGCATAATGTTCATAAGTATTCAATATTCATAATGTTATAATGTTCATCTTTTAAGTATGATAAGGTTAATATAGGTGCTTTGATTTTAATTGAAAAGTTTGTTAATTTCTCTAAATTTATAGTTTAGAAATCTTTATTATTATTGTAGATGTCAGATGTATGGTTATTCAATTCATTAATGATATTATTTCTTCTGGTCGAAAAAAAAAGAGAAGTTACAATAGGTGCTTTGTGCTAGTGGTTGAGGTGGTGGAATCTGTTGTATGCAGTGTTGGTGGTGGAGTTCCGTGGTCTAGTCAAGGAAGATGAGTTAAAGGGTATAACCCTTTAATTAGTGAAACTATGGTTAGCTAATCTTTGTAATTAATGTGAATGTAACACTTTAAGCAATATGGACTATTCTTAAGACAAGCAAAACACTTACAAAATAATAATTGATAGACTAATTTTGTTTTGTTACAAAATCATATTCCTTCTTTCGATAAGATTTTCGAAGGCATTTAAACGGGATTAAATCACATGATGATGTTCCGTGGGCTCAATAAGTTTAGTGAGTCCAAAATAAGAGGCTATACAATATGCATAGTTTGTATACTCCGTAATTCAATAATGCATCAAACATTTTAATTAATAAATAGATCTTGTTTCGGGTGAAAACAATGGGACCTTTCCGAAGGTCCGCTGAAACGGAGAAGACTGGATTCGATCCAAGTTATGTTGGGCCGAAGGTTTCCTGCACAGTAAACACACGTAAACTAGCCTCGGGGGTGTTGCCGAGGAAGGCCCCTCCGATGCTAAAGTCAGTACAATGTGTAGAAAGAGAACACTATGCAAGAAAATTTGTTGCTTGAGGCTTTATTTGAGTATATGAGAATGTATGGGAATCTATGAGAATCTGTGAATCTGTGAATGTATGTGAATATATGAATATTGATGGCTTTTATACCTCTTCATACATGGAGAGGTTGGGCCTTAGCCCAATTGGCTTGCTTTGAGGGCTGACCTTTGACTTTAGCACAATTGGAGAGTTGAACCTTAACCTTGGGCTTTTAATTGGATCATTTAATGCCTAGGCCCAATTGGACTAAATTGGACCCAAACAACTTGCCCCCCAGACCCGATTTGGAAAGATGACGGGTCGGGTTTGATTTAATTCAGAAAAGGAGGGAAGTAAATGATTTAATTAATCCAAAAATTTGAATTTAAACCGTAATTAATGAGATAACAACAGTTAAGGCGGATGATGGTGGAAGTTGGACGGATAATGGGCAGTTTAATCGCAAGGTCGTGTGTTTAACGGTTACTTAGTGGGGTATTTAAGAGAAATTGAAACGTGGACTCCCCGTATCCCATTCCTGGAGATATAAACAGAGGCGCGTCATCTCTCCTCACTTATTCACCAACACAAACCCAGAATTCTCGAGAGAAACCAAGAACCCGCATCAAAACTTCGCAAATTCCCCGAGCATTAAGCTTAGAAACTGAAACTTGCCACTACGAACTCGTAAATCGGCAACTTTCGCTTCAGATTAAGGTAAATTCCTTTGATTTCAGTTTATTTTTCTTCGAATTCGAACTCCTTCCCTTTTTTTCGACTTTTTTCTTCGAAATAATCAATGGCAAGAGGAGTTAGAGGTAGAGCCCGTGCTCCAAGAAGAGCAAGGCCAATTCCCGATCCTAGGAAATGGATTGGGACCTGGAATGGACAAAGGCCAGAGTCTGACCCTGCTGAAGGGATTAGGGCGACTCTAATTTCTTCGGCTCCTCCTCAGAGAACGGAGGGGCCGAGCGCTTCTGGACGGGACGATGAAGTTCCCGCTGTCCTTTGGGATATCCTCCCCGGGTTTTCAGAGTGGGAGAATGCCGAAGTAGCTTCGGCCATGATAAAGAACCGCCCCTACTCATTGAGTTGCATTACGACATTTTTGAAGCTGATGGGTATTGGTGCCGAATGCCCGCGGCATCCGATAGAATCCATCGTCCACCCCCGGGGTATGTGGGGGTGTACACAAGACAGCTTCAGTACATGCTGAGGTTCCCTTTGGACGTATTTGTCCGAGACTTGCTGATCCATTACAATATCTCCCTATGTCAGTTAACTCCCACCAGCATCCGAAGGGTGATGACATACTTATGGGTCTGCAAGTTCTTCAAGTATGTGCCGAACCTGCACTGCTTCAAAAAGCTTCATCGGCTAGTGCCAAATATTCAAAGTGGGCACGGAAGCCATGGTTCTGGGTGGTACCAATTGAGTCTCGGCCCCAGTACCTGACCATGTGGCCGAACGACTCTTCTGACAAGGACTGGAGAGGTCAATGGATTTGGGTTAGGGCACCCACAGATCCGGGCCACCCTTGCGTCTTCAGCGCTCCCCGGTACCTTGCTGAGCCTGATCCCGACATGGGAAGTCTAGGTCCCCCCGCAGATAACGGGCCGGATCCGAACCTTGATCAACAAAATATCTTCGGCAAGCTGCCGAACCGGGGGGGCAACGGCCGAATGCAGCATATCCCGGAGACTTGGCTCCCCGATACGCATTATGTTTTCCAAGAGAACATGCTAGCAGCTGTTGGCCTCAGCCGAAAGTTTAAGGATGGTAAGCTTCTTCGGCTGGGGCCGAGGCTTTTTAACTATCTCTTTTTCTTCTCTCACTTCGCTTTTTTATGCTGTGCCAACCTATCTGAACTGACCTTTCCCCTTTTCTTTTTCAGAGCGGAACGAGACCAACGTTGGCATTAACTACGCTCGTCTTGGTGTCAACCGAGAACGAGTTGTAACTGATCGGGCCCCGTCTATCACTGAACCGAGGCATAGGGAAGTTCATCTAGACTCTTCCCACTTCCAAATTGAGGCTGTTGCTCTGTATCAGAGGAAGAAGCCTTGGTGGAAGAAGAGAGACCCCTGGTTTCAGCTGCTGGACGAAGAAGCTGAAGCTGCCCGTACAGCCGAAGAGGTTGCACGGGTTCTCGAAGCTTGCGAAGGAGGAGAAGGGTCCTCCAGAGCTGCTGAAGAAGAAGCTGCAGCTAGGGCAGCTGAAGAAGACGAGGCTTTGCTGAAGACCTCGGTGAGCTTTCAGACTTAACTTTGTCTTTCTTCTTTTTTCTTTTTTTTTTTTTTTTTTTTTTGTTTGTACTCACATTCTTCCTCCCCCCTGTCTGTTACAGTCTGAAGAGAGTAACAGACACAGAGAAGGGAAAGCCCCTGTTCATCCCGAAGACCAAATACAAGAAGAGTCTTCAGACTCAGACATGGACGAGCAGCCTCTTCAGAAAAGGCGCCGAAGAATGGCCATCATCGGCCCTCATGACTTTCAGCGGAGGCCGATGACCATCGGCGTTGAAATAAGGGAACCCGAGGAAGGCAATGGATCGCCGAGGGTTCCCCGGCCACCACCCCAATCACCT